TTAATATGATATCTCATTTTACTGATTAGGATCAGTCTATTGTAGGCAATAGAATATTTTAAAGTTACCTATTTCTCAGATAGAAATTAGTTACACAATAATTGTCGAAAAATTACGCTAACTTCTTTGATCTCAAACTGAAATACTTTGATTGGAACAACGATCTACCGTAAAAAAAGTTTCCTTTTTTTATTATTAGCTTTTAGACAGGAACTTTTACTCTATTCCAGAATACATTTATATAAATCAGCGATTCCAAACCTAGTAGAAATTAACCCAGCGGGGGTTAATCAGCTTTTAAGTTGGGTTATAAGATATAATTTAGACCAAATAAAATAAAAGAACAATTTAAATAAACGTCTCATTGAAACGGAACAAGATTCAGGAAGTTAGTACTTTTAAATGAAAGTAAACCTAATATCGAAAAATTATGAATGTACATTGATACACGCCGTTTTTTATTAATCTGTATTTGTATTACAAACATGATAAAATATCACTAAGTTTCATCACCAACCTAAAAAATGTGTCAAAAAGTACTTTTGTATTGAAAAAAGATGTGTTGTAGAAATGTTTTAGATTCCCGCTGGTCATTTGTCCGCAGAAATGCATCTTAGTTAATTTTTAGCACTCGGTTTTTTTACACTAATAATTCACAGCAGAATCAGACAAAAGCTAACTTTGAACTAGTAATAGCAAAATAGCGACTATCTGTCAGTTACACAAACGTCCATTAAGGTTTAATGTCGCCTTTAAGCTGTAATGAATGTCAAATTTGTATGGGTAATATCACTTTAAGTAATGACTATTTTAATGGGCGTTTGTGCATCTTGCTGTATAATATTTTAAATTTAGGAAAATATCTAAATACCAATAAAGGACTAAACAGGACCTGACAAGACTGACGAATTTTTCAATTACTTGTTCCTATTGGGTCCTGGGTAGCTCAGTGGTTAGAGTACTCGCTCGGATTGCGAAAGGTCGTAGGTTCGAATCATCTTCGAACCATCTCAGAATACCAGGGACAGGGAAATATTGAAAGAAATTATTGAGATGAAGAATTTAATAATGTAAATGAGTCACTTTGTAGATAGGGCTGCCACATCCTGAATTTAATTAATCTTAAACATTGAAAGACAAAAAATAAACACAACTTATATACTATAACATTTATGTCTTAGCTTTCTAAAAAAACAAAAAACTATACTAAATTAGACTATTAGAATAGCTACTGTAAGGATAAAAAATATTTTTGGACGATTCATATTTGAATGAAGAATTTTTATTTTTTTAAATTAAAATTAACGTTTTTATCATAGGCACTGAAAAATATTGCTACAGGAAAATAAGAAAATTGACGTAGACTGTTCGTGATTATTTTGCGTGTATTACAAAAAATATAATTCTAGTGACCCTGTTGACGCAAGGATATGAAATGACGTAGGCTCCATGACGCCTGTACTTAATATATGCTACATGCATATATCAGAAGCCCTTATTATCAAGTAATATGGTCCACTTTAGAGCTAAAACGTGAATAGAACGGTTATTTTATTTCCGTGACATTTATTAATATTCATGCCTGAGGTGTTGTTTCAAATAATTAAGTTATAAACAAATAATTAAGTTTTGTGATGTTATGAGTCGTATACCGTTTGTGTTTTGTTAACAAAATTAGTTGAATGTGTATACCATACACCCGATCAGGGTGGAATTGAACTGCTGACCAATTCCGTTAATGTTTACGTAATTATTGCATCTCATTAGAATCACATCTAATTGTAGCAGAATTAGAATCAAATAACATTTAAATCAAAATATATTTATTGTACCAAAACATTATCTTTTGAAAAAAGTTTTGAACTACTAATGCTGCGACAGTGCAGCTTGACTCGTTGTTCGACTCTGTATTCGATGATTTTTGAACGAATAGCTTCAGTACGGATTCAGATGTGCTAATGACGTGCCAGCGACTGCAGATGCTAAAAAGACAAACGAAACACGAAGCCGATTAAGATAACAATATTTTAGCTAACTTTAACCAACCCTTGTGAAAGATTATACAATATATAATCGATATAATATAATAGATTTACAATATATAATTAGTTACATGCATGCGTAATAAAACAATTTTAAACACAGTGAAACTAGTCTCGTAATGGCATGAAATCAACAGCATCTCTAAGACACTAGTTCTGACAACATAGTAGTTTTATTATCCGCAGATGGTGTCGCGCGCAACACTAGTTTCACCATGTAAAGTGTGATGATATTCGTTGTGTGACACTATTTTAAAACAAAATTGCAACAGTGATTTCATACCATAAGCCATATACCTGAAATTAGTGTCATCAAACGAATGCACGCATTGTGAAACTGTTATTGAACTTCATGTAATTAGTTTCGTAAGGTAAATTCGACTTCATAATATACAATAAAAATTTAACTGTAGATGAAAAACGCTAGTACCTATCGCTGTATTATAATGCCACTTGTTGCTGAAACGCCACGCTGCGCACAGCGGGTGACTAACTTATTTTATTGGGGACATATTGACCCAGCTTCCTCCTTAATATTAATAAAAATTTGATACCCTAATTACGTTGAGGTTAATATAATTCCTAGTAAAGTTGTGAAAATAAAATTAATTGTTTCGAAATAATATTAAAGTTCAAAATATAGTAACCATATTTGGTTCGTATCTTGTTAACTCCATTTATATTATCTGAGTCGTATCAGTAATTAATGAATGAAAAAACATTGTAATCTTCCTTATTCGTCTTTATAAGTTATAAATTTAATGAAAAATCTGGTCTTAATTACCTAAGTACCTAATCTTAATAAAAATATTGTCTTATTATCAAAGTAATATGATAATCTTCATCATCTGCTTTTTAAGTCCCCACTGCAGGGGTCCGGACCTTCCTTAAGGATGGTTAAAGAGAATGAGCCATTACCCTATCCCGCTGGCCCATTGCAGATTGGAGGATTTTATCGACTGCAAGTGTAGCCGGAATAAATGGTTTAACGTGCCTTCCGCAGCACAGATTAGCTTGAGACAATAATATTTTTTGGTCACCCATCCCGTGACCAACCGAGCTATTACTAGATAATCTATATGAATAAAAATGAATCGCAAAATATTTAGCTTAGCTCAAAACTCAAGAACGGCTGTACCGATTTGGTTGATTTCTTTTTTGGTGTGTTTTACGAAATTTTAGGAAGGTTCTAATGGACAGAAAAAACGTAAAAGATAGAGAAATAGGGCAGAACAAGGCCTGCCGGGACAGTTAGAAGTTATTAAATAAAGTAAATTATTTACTAAAGGTATTTTCAGTGCGTGCACACGTCACGCGAGACGCAGCTGCCGCCCGCCCGACGACCAACACGTGTACTTACATGCCGCCCGTCGAACGACAGATATCTTTCACTTATTATTAAATATTAATTGGCATTTAACGACAATAGTTTACTCCTGTATAGACACACCTAACCTAACCTAACATTATAAAAAGAAAAGATTTAATTATTTGTTTGCATCGAATTAGCTCCAAAAGAACTGTACCTATTTTTAAAAAAATTACACACAACGTGACACTATTTAACAACAGTTAACACACTTAATTATAATAATAATAATCAACAGCAAAAATAACAATTAAAAATAAAGAATTAATTTAGTATTAATAATAAATGTGTTGAAATTTCTCAATCGTTTATGATTATTAAAAGGAAATGTTAGATGTATATGGAAGTACCTACTATCAACATCGGAATATTTAATTTTGTTACAACTTGAAAAGTTTTAAATTAGTGTAATCAGACCATTTGAAAGTTTTTGTTTTCAATTGCACGAGACAAAAGTTATGTAGTTTATAATTATAAAGTTTATAATTATGTTAATAAAAGAGAATTATTGCTGAAAAACCGCTACGGATTTTAGAATAAATGTAATCTTTATCTTTGACTGTAAAATAAAAGAAATATTAATACGTTCCTTTATAATATGTAACACATCAGTTTCTGAAGCTATCGCCGAAAATTATAAGGCGTGGATACAAAAGCGGACTAATTCTTTCCATTAGTTTTCCGTTAGACTTTTCCATAGATAGAGATATACAGTTTTCCATTAGTTAGATTTCAGATTTTGCTGGTTTGGTTCAATCATCATAATATAAATACTTTCATCCTTTTAATAAATAACAGATAAATATTACAAAGATAAAAATATCTAAGTACATTTTAATCTTTATAAATTTTCCTATTGCTAATAGCCAATGCCTGTCGCTATCTTAATCCGTGCCTATGTACTCCGACCGTCCCACGGTCGAACCCCCGTCTAAAAACATTCACACCAATAGTTCGCGAATGGAATTGCATTTCCTAATTGCTCCTCAGTTTCCCACCGTGCGCCGGACACGCGGCACTTTGAACCACCCAAATTAGAGCAAGCCATTGCAATTTAAACTCTATAATGTTACTTGCAATGTCTATTTTTAAAATTAGTGTTGTCAAAACTAATAATCATACTGTTTAATATCTAGCTTAGCTATTTGGTTCGTCATATATGAGTCTTATTAGCGAGGTGTAACAACTATTATACCGTGGTGCAGCTTTACAGCTTTATTGCAGAGAAGGATTCATTTGCAATTTGGATTGCGAAAAGAGTAACCGTTTATACGTTGTAATAAAACGCATTTTAGTATATTTTATTCGTAATATGCAGTTGGCGGTGGTTAATCGCGGTGGGCATAGGGTAAAAATGCCGTAGGGTGATGGCACACGGGGCGGCACGCGGCGCGCACTCCGCGTCCGGCCATCCACGCGCTCGCACGTGGCGTGTGTGCACCGCTCTTTACCGCGAACGTCACGTGACTGACAAAGTTTCTTATGTGATAACATCAAAAGTTTTTCGGTAACTTCAGTGACAGTTTAACAAACTCTTTTATGTTATTTAAAAATTGTGTTTAGGACAAGTTTGAGTGTTTTCTTCAATTATGGAATATCATCATCGTCATATGGAACAACCACCATTGCAGGGTCAGACACAGCCCCCCCAGTGGGGGTACGGCTGGGGTCCACCGGCTGCTCCTGCGCCACCTGCGCCAGCGCAAAGAAATAAAAGGACTCACTCTGAAAGTGAAGACGATGCCTTTTCTGAAGAAAGTAGTAGTAAAGATGCACAGTGAGTACTCGCTTCTATAATAAGATGTATAAATAAGAAATCTTATTAACTATCCGTAATTTATTAGACAGACATAATAGATTATGTTAAAATTAACAAATAATGTCAATTTCTGTTATTTAAAAAACTATCAATAAACTACACTAATATTATATAAAATTACACATTTCCAATCCCGTTTACATTGTGTAATTTTCAAAAGGACTGTGATTAAAAACGAGATAATAGCCCGTAACAAATAATTTCACAATAACAAGTCAACAATTTTACAGTAAAACCGCAACACATACACAAAAATACAGCCTTCGTAGCTACGACGTAGCACGTAGATCAGTATATTTCGACACGTTAAAAACTTTTTACCTATCCATATTTCGATGTTCAGTTATTTATTTCTTGGCCCTAATGAGATCGAGATAGATAAGATATTCTTTATAGTGCACCCAAAACAAAAAAAAATGAATAAATTTAGCCACGATGACCTATAAATGCTGCACATAATTTTTAGAATCCGAGTTTTCTATTCTGCAAAAAGGTACTATTTGTTAGTTTTTTCATGTTGAAGATAATGTCCGAAACTCGTCGAAATAGAAATAGTCTTTGACCTTTAAAAAGGTCTTCAGGTCACTGATTGCTATGGGATTTCCTTATATTCCCATGAAAAACGAAATACGTTTCGTTATAACTGCGTGGGCATCATTACTATGTGATAATAATAAGATTAACATTGAGAGTTTACATGCTTCTAAATAGGTAGAAAGGGTTTAGCCGGATACGTATGACGAGTCGGCCCCCAAATAGGAATCGATATTGAAACTTATGTTTTAATATCGACTTGATGTTCAAACACGATTTATGTACTTTTCGCGACTGACTTCCGCTTTGACCTTGAGATAAAGAGCAAAATATCCGTATGCTTGACTATTACTGAATGTGATATATCTCTAAAACTAATTAAGATAAAGAAGTGAAACTAACGCGAGGTGTTAGGTTACATTACAGAGTATATCACATATATTTTTTTATAATTTTTAAAATAAAAAATTACATTAAAAAAATAAAAACAATAAAAAATCATGTTTTTTTTCTGAGTTCTCTGTGACTTACAATCACGAAATTAATATATGTTATGCTCCTTTGTGTGCCCTATTACCCATAAAAATTGCGTGAAAAAAAAGTTGGTGCAACACAACGAAAAAAAATTATATGTGATTTCTGTCTTATGGTATACCCTTGTATTATAAGGTTTTCACATTACATCATTGTTTTTTTTTTCGAAATTTCACATTAGCTTGTTTTAAAACATAAGTAACTAGTCTTAAGAGATGGGATAATAGTTAAAAAAGAAATGAAAAAAAAAACAGCCAGTGTTCAATACTTATTATTATTACTTTTTCGTGTCTATCAAAATACAAGAAACAAAATATTAATCATCGTCACTGTTGTAATTAATTACAATCGGAACACTTTGAGTCGCAAATAACTTAGTTAGGACCTCAGCAGGACGTACGATTTTGGACAAATATCTTCCATATGATAGATAATAAATAATAGCTGCTACATGAGAACAGCATCCCACTGTACGTTTGCCATTGGGGCAATCACAGCAATAACGAAGAATACTATTGTAGTCATTACCTTCGGAAATATAGTGAATGTAAATTCGATAGACTTTTCTATTTATATGTCTTGATTTTACTTCTGCTTTGATGATATTAGGTGCTGATTTCACATATTGTACTGAGAGATTATTTTGATCGTCCATTATTTCGGCCAAGTTAAATGCTGCACATTTAGAAGTAGAAGCTTTTTTGTTAATATATGGGATAAGTCAACACTTCTTACAAAAAATATCATTAACTATTACGATTTTATTCAAACAGTCACTAAACACTTTAGCTTCTTCTTCATTCTTCATAATTTTTTTATAACCAGGAACCTTACACAGGTACTTGTTACAATTTTTACACTTTCTCGACATTATTACTTAATAATGATTTGGTTCGATAGTTAATTATTTAGAAATGCTGATACAAAATACCTATGACAGAATTTGAGTCCCAAACTGCCTTCTTGTGTAATACAAATGACTGCTACTTTAGCTAAACAAACGATGCAGTAAACAGCTCGATAACAAGTTCGAACTTGTTTGTTTATACACTCACACTACAAGGCGCGAATCACATATAATTTTTTTTCGTTGTGTTGCACCAACTTTTTTTTCACGCAATTTTTATGGGTAATAGAGCACACAAAGGAGCATAACATATATTAATTTCGTGATTGTAAGTCACAGAGAACTCAGAAAAAAAACATGATTTTTTTTTATTTTTAATTTTTTAATGTAATTTTTTATTCTAAAAATTATAAAAAAATATATGTGATATACTCTGTAATGTAACCTAACACCTCGCGTTAGTTTCACTTCTTTATCTTAATTAGCTTCAGAGATATATCACATTCAGTAATAGTCAAGCATACGGATATTTTTCTCTCTATCTCAAGGTCAAAGCGGAAGTCAGTCGCGAAAAGTACATAAATCGTGTTTGAACATCAAGTCGATATTAAAACATAAGTTTCAATATCGATTCCTATTTGGGGGCCGACTCGTCATACGTATCCGGCTAAACCCTTTATGGATTCTATGTTTGATTAAACAAATATATTTTTTTTAACAATATTTAGTATTTATTTACTTTCTATTTAATTTACATTGTAAATATCTTCGCTTAATTCTTGAAAGATGGTATATATAAAACAATGGACGAATAAAAACTGGATTTGAATATAAAAAACTTTGATTCTAATTTTGAAAGTACATTTACACAGTTTAAAACAAAGTCGCTTCCCACTGATATCTTTTGCGTTACTCAACAGATTTCAATTTGGTTTTCATAAATATATAGATTGATTCAGTATGAAGGTTTATATCAATAACATAGGACCAAGCCGACGAAGCCGCTGGTGGAAAGCTAGTATACCAATAAATAATAGATGAAAAAAATAGATGACTAAAAAATGAATTCGATGTTTGAATTTACTTGTAATTCTTATTTTAAATTTCGAAACAAAGTCAACTTCTTAATCGGCCTTATTTTCCCGTACAGATCTCCAGGTGGCGACTCGTGTCAGTTAATGACGCGTAAGCGACGTCGCGGGGTCATCGAAAAGAAGCGACGGGATAGAATCAACACATCGTTGACAGAACTAAAGAGACTGGTACCAGCCGCTTGCGAGAAGCAGGGCAGTGCGAAACTGGAAAAAGCTGAAATCCTACAACTTACTGTAGACCACCTTAAGATGTTGCATGCTAAAGGTAAGAAATTTTGTTTGATTTTAACAAGAGTTCGTTTCAAAAATCCGGTTACTAAAACTCGTGGAACGTTCCAAAAAATCCGTTACTAAGCAAATTAATGAACTGTCTTATGATATGTAAATATGTATGACACGCTGTACGTACATAATAACATTTCCAGGATCTAGGCCCAATATCTATGTTTAAAAATATCAGTAACCCCAAATTGGTTATTTGTCCTTAGACGAAGATTCAGTTTAGAAGAAAGAATAATATAATACCCATGGGTATGGAATTTAAGATAAATTATTATCGGGTAAAATCTTATTTAAAAGAAACAGGGACTCAAACCATCTCTTTAAACACAACACATATTCTGGAAATGTTGCCTAATCGTGGTGTTTGAAACAGACATATTATTATAAACTTTTTTTTAAGCTATCCTCCGAATTCCCGCTAATCATATCTATTCCTTATAAAAATGACAGGAAGTATCAGCCTTGAAATCTTTAAATCGAATGTGCACAATCATGCCCGTTACGTTCGTATAAAGCTGTCATTCATACCCTCAACTACTTACTTCCTCCCCCAATAAAAAGTAGGCGATAAAAAGATATAACTTTTTGCAATATAAAAACTTAAAATGCATAACGGGCCTGCCAAAAATCAACTTACATACACTTTTTCTTTCATAAACTCTTCCTTTTTAAATATTACTTTCTGTTCCTATTACAAATGAAAGAAATAGTTAAAAAAAACTGTATTTTTTTTCTTTAAATGGATCTGAAATAAAATAACATTCAAAAAGTTTCTCTTAGTTTTGAAATCATAGTTTTCGAGTTTTACTCGTAATCGCTGTTCCATTTTCAAATAAATTGCGGATAAATAATTATTAAGAGTCACTCATACATAAGTCCTTATACATACCTATTATTTATTTTGTAATTGACATTTGATTCGATGTATGATATATCTATTAAAAGTGTAACACTTAAAATTTTACTTCAAATGAAAGTAGATCAAATATATATTATTACTTATATCAATTAAACCGTTTTTTGTACCCACACAAAATTTCATGTAATATGTCTATGGTTTTTAATAACGTAATAGATTTTTTTTTAATTAAAAAGAACATATTCAATCAATATTTGGTAACGTAATCCGTATATCCCTTCGATATATGTATGATAAGAATTAAAAAAAAATAACTAAACTCTCCCTGGAGAGCAGGCGCGCATACGGGCGGGGGACGTGTGTTACATGCGTATACGCAGGCGACCCGTTCCGGGTTCCCACGCCGTTTCCGGGTATAACGACAGGTGGACTGCGGTTTTTGTAGATCTCTATACTAGTAGCCCAGTATTTTTTTACCTTAAAAACAATTAAAAAAAAATCTATACTAACATTTTACATTAAATAGAAATAAGGTTAAGGTTTTATTTTCGTTGATAATTTAAAATTTAATCCTTATTATAAAGAAAGTTTGTACTCTCATGAAATTCTGAACAGAATTTCATTAGGTTTCACTAATAGACAGAGTCATTCATGAAAGGTTTGAATTTATAATTTATTATGATTTTGTTTAAATTTACATAAATATAACGAAAACATCAGGTAAACCCGTGAGTGATTTTTAATTAATAATTTTATAAAAACTAACTATAAAACGGTTCCAAATAAAAATAATAACTTTACAAATTTCATGAATTAATATAAAAACTTCAAGCTTAGAAATCATTTTGGTCATAACATTGAAACGTCCTCTGCAAACTCACTTTCATTGACATGTAATGTGCACGTGACATTCAAAAAAGAAATTCCGTTGAATAATTAAATCGTTGATTTACTCTTCCTTCCGCTTTTCGATTCAAAATAAAATGGAATGTGGTTTACAGGCGTACAAATTGATTGCGGTTACCACGTACTCGTACGGTTCGAAAATCAAACTAATTATACCTACTTCCGAAGTCATTTTTAAATTGGAATGATTTTAAAAATAAAAATTATTATTTAACGTACATGTTGAAATGTTTATTTTTCTCTTTTTGTGCAAAAAAGTTTATAATACAAGGAGTTTTGTACATATAAAGAGTTTCATCGTCTTTCAATAACCATATAGACACGAAGCTTTACTTATTTATATTATTAGTATAGTTCACACGCAAATCTATACAATAAAATAGGCCATTTTAAAAAGTCATTCACAGATTTAGTATATTAAAATCGCGTTCGGGCCACAACAAAGCATTAAAGGCATGTCGGCCATCTGACCGGGATCAGTTACCAGGTAGGACAGACAAACGGACGGACACCTGGCGCCAACAAAAACTACAAACAGGAAGATAGAGATAGATATGAACGAATGGACGCGCCGCCTTTTTTATGTATATTTACTCGGTTTTAATCAGGCTCGGTTTTATCAATAGGAAAATAATACTTCGAAGATTTGAGGCCTTAAAATGTTGTGATATAAAAAGTTCTTTGTTTAAATTAGGTTAATGAAACACATTTGAATCATGCAACACATTTTACCTACCACCCATTCAGTTCTCATTGGTGACATTATTAAACTCAAGAATAAAGTTTAAAATCAATTCGACAGTGAACCTTTGAAGTATATCTTCCTTATCCTTAATTTAGATCGTGACATTAATTTAAAACTACGCAATAAGAAGAATCCTAAATTACGTTTTAAATCATTAACATAAAAAGTTTAGATATGCTTAATCCAGGACAAAAATCAAAGTACATATAAAGCATAGACAACGGTGTCGATGATACTATGCTCCGAGAGTACAATTTTTCATGACCTTATCCTTATTTGGTTTTCAAATTTTCACTAAAAATATCATAACAATATGTTAAAAGACCAGTAATAAATTCCCAGTCACAAATGTAAGATAACAATTATCTACAAGTCCGTTTTGCGAGGGCGCGTGTGGGAACGTCGATGACTCCCAATCCCACTCGCCCCTAGCGGGTCCAAACGGGCTGAGGGTGACCTCCCTCCTCACATATATTAATTCCAAGCTTCCATTCACTATTTTTCCACATTTAACGTCCGTGAGAAACGATTTCAAATGACTTCATTTATAGAAGTTGAACGTGTAAATCTAAATTTATTTAATAATTACATTACTATTGTAGGTAAATAAATGAAAACTTGTAATCGGTCTTCATACATAATATTACCTAGCTTTAAGTATTTCGATGATATAAAAAATAGGACTATTTAAATCGCATCAATTTTAATGATATCTGTATTTTATTTGATCTAAATCAATTTATGTCGTTGGATGTGCTGCTAATGAGAAAGTATTAAAAAAAAAAGAAAGCACCAAAAAGCACCTCACGAGATTGTGTCTCTAGCAAAAGTTGAATTTTACAGTAAACGAATGGACCAATGTTAGTAATTTCCATTCCTTTTAAATAACATATTAAAAAAGTGAAATTTGAAATTTTCGAAACTTAGATATCAATACTAATACGAAAAAGTACAAATAAAATGTAAGTTGTTTATTGAGTTTTGAAAATTAAATTACTTTATTACATGAAAGAAAACCGGATGGGTTGTCATGGATAAGAGTCAAGAACGTCCCGTAGCGACATACCGTTAATCTAGTTTGACTTCGGGAATTTTTTTTTTTTAATACTTCCTCGTTGTACCTATATAGGTAAAATTAGCATAGGTATAATTCTTATAACTATTTTAAAGTTTATGTACAAAAATTAAAATTATAGAAAAAAATATACGTTTCTTTAACAATAACCTAAGGCTAATAATCATATTTTTTAAATCAAACTCGTGATCATAAGACATTTACTCTTAAGCTAAATCCAATGCATTCCAACCCCAAAACATAATGTTTTCTAAAGCCGCAAATAAAATAATACTTCAACAGAAAGAATAAATAACCAATGCCTAACTCAGATCAGTAACTTAAAAAAAAGAACAATCAAAAACAGATTTACATGAACGTAATATACTTTTGCGTTTAACATAATAAAGTCACAAGCGGAAGCGGATTAAGACGCTAAGAAGAAGGGTTGTCACACCTGCATAGAATATAAAAAAGCCTATTACAACCGGAAGGAAGGGAGACCGACCATTGTAAGAATAGTAGAAGCTTAAGTGGTTCACTTTGATATTGAAATAACTTCGAAATACAAAGGAATGCCTTTTTTATTTGTATGAGAAAGGTGAATTGTATAATTAATGTTAGATCTGTAGATAAACAACTTCAAAAGGCTTAATTTATATGTCACTTTGATCACAAAAAGATTTATTAAAACTTGGTAAAATTTCTGTTAATGAAATATAATAAGTAAATTCACAGAGAAGCTAATAATACCAAAAAGCAACATAATATAAATGGAAGAACAAAATACGGTAAAATTCATAGAATTGAATTTTAATTATTGTAATTCTCAAGAGAATCAATTTGGTTCACTAGAAACTATAACAAAACTTGGGTCCGTTTGTTTATACCTGTCTATTCACAAAGAAATACAGTGAATGTAATAGAATAAAAAAAATAAAAAAACAGATAACTACATTTCGCGCATACCCCTGTCCCCGTGGCCCAGTTCACCATTTAACCTAGTTCCTCCGACCTTTCTCCTGCATCTGCGGAAGGGGATAGCGGCCCATCTTTTTTTGCCAAGCCCTCGAAGACGCTCCTCATGGGGTGCCGTTATTACACATGCATGCCGTTACCTCTCTCTTTCGCACTTTAAACTCACGTCCAACTATCTCTGTCTACTTGTTGCGTAAGTGTTCTTACGAGGGGCGCTATGAATGGAATCAAGCCGCTTTGTTTTCCTTAGACTTGCATCTGGTCCACGTGGGGTGGTTTGCATCATTTAAGACATAAAGCTTGTAATTGGAATACAATTTTATTTTATAACAATAAGATTCAATTTCGTGAGGCCTATTTACAATGTTTAAGTAATAATAATGGCTTGTATTGTTGCAGGACTGGACACGTTCGCTTACGATCCACAAAGATATGCTATGGACTACCACAGTATAGGCTTCAGAGAATGCGCTGCTGAAGTAGCGAGGTACCTAGTTAGCTGTGAAGGTCTCGATATCCAAGATCCCCTTCGGCTAAGGTTGATGAGTCACCTGCAGTGCTTCGCTGCACAGCGAGAGTTAGCAGCGAAGTCAGCAAACTGGGGATACCCTCAGTATCCGTCAGCGCCCGTCCCTCCACAACCACAACATGGGTACACTGAACTAGGACATAGACAAGAGCCAGCGACCTCAACAGCAGTAACAGCGGTGTCGGCGCCGGCGATAGCTCCACTCTCAGCCCCTCCAAGCTATCCACATTATCCTCCGGGGCCACCAGCGCCTCCTGCACCACCCGGTCCTCACGCTGCCCCTCCTGCACCTCATTATCCAGCGCCGTACCCCCACCATCCTCCCCATCACCAGTATTCACAGAACAGTTCCAAACCTTATAGACCATGGGGTGCGGAATTAGCATATTAGCTATATTACAAGACAACTTAGAGACTCTAATGAAAAGGATTATAATTGGTCACGATCTTTTTGTTTTACATATTTCATATGTATAGATATGTTTAATTCTGTGATACTCAGAAACTTTCCAATATGTCGATTAGCAGGATTTTTTGCTGTTAGTAACAAAAATACCATTAAAAAATTTTCATTTGACAATAATTCTTTATCAAAGAAAAATTCAAAATGTTATGTAGTGTTTTGGAAAATTTCTTCGAAATAAGATGGGGTTATACCTTTAATCATTATAATCCTTGCCGTTGGAGTGACATAAATTCAATTTTGTGATAGATCTCAGAGTTTAATCAGAAATAGCAAATTATAAAATATTTTTCGAGGATTTTTAATGTTGTAAAGATGTACAAGTTTATAAATGCTACGTAAGTTGTGTGATAGCAATATAGTATATTAACTAAGTTTATTATGAATAGTCACTAGAGTTTAAGACCAAAATTTAAGCTTTAAACGGTTGTTCGATGTATGGACTAGCATTTATAAAAAACAAGACTGGTCGCATTGTACACCAAAGACTGACTTATGTCAAATATGTTGAAATAATAATAGAATAATAGAAACCGAATACAAAGAGACGTAAGTCAACGAAATCTTTATAAATATGTTGTCTAACGTAAACGGTTGTGAATTAGTATTAATCATTACATAAAGTAAGTGCTGCTATCTAAAAGGAACCACTATTTGTCACTAAAGGAATGGGTTTTCAACCAGAGTGCAAAGAATCAACTCAAATACATTCCAATTTTAATTCTAAGAGTATAAAATTGTATTTTTGTTTCTTTTTACTACTCGAACTTACAAGAGTTGTGGGTTTTATTAGACAGCATTACCCTATATAGACATTATGAATTTCTACACAGCAAATTGTAAGACGGGATAAAGTTATAATTATAAAATTCTCAGATGATCCATTAGTTTTAAAATCTTTGTGTTTCTACACAAGAATCCTATAACAACCAGCGTTAGATTAACACCATAATATCTTAATTTATTTTAAACTAACTGTGCCCACGACTTCATCTGCGTAGAAAAGTAACTCGGAAGAATTCGGTTGAATTATAATTTGTCCCGTTACTATTTATCATAGATTTGAAGTTTGTCAATACATAGCCCGCGTTTTTCTTCTTTCCTTTCATAAAGTTTCTGTCTTATTTCCAAGACTACTGAATAAAGCGATTTCTTAGTTTGTTATTCATCAAAAATAGAAAGAAGTAGGTATCAGAAATAATACTGTTAATTTACTACAACCATTATCATCTTTATCTACCCATTTATGTGCCCACTACTGAAAAACACGCATTTTCAATGGATGATATCGCATCGAAACAAAATAGCAAGAACGTGCAAATAAAAATAACTAATAATATGTGTACAGAATCGCATTATTATTATGAATGTTGTCAACAAATGAGTCGATTGAGTATACAACTTATTTTAAAAGGCACAAAGTATTGATTAAGTTAATAGAATTAATAGTCATATACCGCGGAGCCATTTATTTATGTTGTTCCATTTTCTATATATATTTGTATATTATGTTCTTGTTGATATTGTATAATAAAATGTAACGACAGAAATTGATCTGTTAACTATTGATATAATAACGCACTGTGTGATGTTTGAATGATTTTTGATAGACAAAATGTCATATGTAAATGTGTAAATATTTATCGAAAAAAATTAGTTCATCAGAAAAAAAGATATTAAATTATTTTTTTAAAAGCTTTGACACTTTTATTTTACTGAAATCGAATTTTCAAAAGAATAAGCTTCTATATTCATTAACAAAAGGCACAAATTTATTATAAACTAAAAAGTTTTTAACATTTTTCGAAAAAGAAAAACTAAAATAACCAAAATGACATTCTCAAAGACGCCCTTTCCTATAGAAATCATCGAAAGACGTTAACGTCTGAATCAGCTTATAAAAACAAAACGTCATCTTTGAAATTTACTAGAACAATCAATTACGATTCTAAATCATTTTTCACGTACCTAATAATACTGTATAAAGCAAATGTTCATTGTCTAGTCAATCTCTTTTTCCTAGATTCCAATTTCAGCGATATATAGTGAAAAGTAGGTCAAACGTTTAGCATACATACTCATCAGAATAGGAAATAGGGGACGACTGGTTTTGCAATATTCCCTGTCGAGTGTGAGAAATAGACCCTTCGCATTACGTATTTGATATTTTCTAGAATTTTTTGATACAGTGACCACATTTGTCATAAAAAATGCCTGAGAAAGCTATAACTGAGACATTTTTTTAATTATTTTTCTAATTCATCAAAAAAATATTGTGAAGTAAAAGTTAATTGTAAATAATACTAAAATAAAACAAAGAACTTATATTAGTATTTACAAAACAAAATAACAAAAAATTTTTAAAATATTTTTAAGTCTTCACATACAAAAATTTTGCAAACAAAACAAATTGCTTTCACAAATATACAGCATAGTTCATTTAATAAAAATAAAGAAATTAAATAAATAAAATAAAATACATTTACAAGTTTAACTGCCACACCTGCCACCGTAAAAGTATATTGACCACAACATTTGCTATGCGAGCAACACATTAAAACGATTAACATCGCACAGGTGGCTATCCATACGAATTTCATTAATGCAATTAAAACTGTTACTTTGACCCCAACAAAGTACCGCAATAATCCAACGAGGGTGATATACGAATTCAAATACTTCATGGCCGTGCCACTTCAATGATCGTATGGGATATCGCCACCCCTGTGTTTCCCACGCGTTCCGTCTCTGTCACTCCGGTCGCGGTGTTATTGCTATCTCGCTCTATCGTACTTCCGTAGGAAGCGCGCACGCAGGGTGCAAAAACGCGATGTTTTTCTGTGATCATTTATTATGCGTCTTGTGTCGCTACGTGTGGTGTTTGACTTGTTAACTGTACGGTGTAAAAAAATAAAAATGGGGACGTAGTTTTCGCTTAATTTTTTGAAGTTTTTTCTCGTTCTCGTGACTGGGTTTAATAAAAGCTATAAGTACAGTTATTGTTGTTACCAACAAAAGTAATTATAAATTATGTGAAACCAATTTTGATTACACATACAATTGAAATTTATCGATAATTTTAAAGATGAATAGCTAATAAATTCGAATTAGTCATTAATAAGATAATTATAAATTGTTTTTTCAAAACTCCGCGTAAACATTTTGAAATTAAACAATCAAGTAGTATTACTTTAATTTTCTTTTTTGATGTATACATAATACTTATTAAATTTGGATTTGCAGAATTAGGGTTTATAGAATTATATACATTTCACATGAAAATATTTTTAGTATATTAGTTATATATTAGTAGGTATATTTTAGGCTTTAAAAAACTCCATATTTGTAATTTCTTAACTTATTGATTATTTATGACATTTGATAAATTTTGCATTGGTGACCCAAACTCGGACAGTAAAGTTGTGGTTTCAGATAATTGTTTATTTTCCAAGACTCTCTGTATAGTTATAAATTGCATTATCATTAGACCCTTATGAAAGGTCTGTAAGCTTTAAGTGATAACACAACCAATTGTACGTCTCCTGTTTACATTTCTTTTTGTGCATACAATATTCTACCTATTCAATGTTATAAAAATTATCCATTTGCTACTCCTGAGTTAAGAGTTCCAAAAATACCCAAATCCATAAGTCCTGAATACGAAGTTTTCCTTTTAATATCATATACCGAACGAAATGGTAGAGTAAATTCTGCGGTAAATGAAATTCATTGTTACGCAACATTTTACTTGTGAAATCATCAATTATTCTGAGCGCTTCAAAGCACTTTAGCTAGGTTCAAGATAAATAGAAGTTGCGCGAAGATGACCTTTTTGAGACTTTGATGATCTACAAATTCAATAGAACATAGTAATATAGAACGGAGCTTTTAAAGCTTAAACTAATTGAAAATCTGAGATTAAGTAAATTATACTTCTATTTTAGACTTTCTCGTGTCTCAACACATCTCATGACGTCAGTCTCAAAATATTCCAATCCACGTAACTGAATATTTATTTTTCAATATATTAATTAACTATTTGTTGACCTTTCTCTACTTGAACCCCATATAATAGTAGATACGGTAAATTATGTAGCGTCCGCCCATGTTATTATGGATTTACTCTCCAAACATTTTTCGATAAATGTTGACCATTTTTGTCATAAAAAAAAAGTTTTTCACGTCCAAGAAATATTCTCTAAGCTTTATGATAAAAAAATCTTTCTTTTTGGTGGCATTTGCATTTTTGACATTTTTCTACATTACTGTTTGTTGCGAAGCTATGGGATAGTATAATTTAAGTACAAATTATCTGTAACCTGAATATATTTTAAAATAAAGTATCATTAATTACAGTAATACACAGCGAAGGTTTTACAATAGGTATTTTTATCAAGTAAATACAAAAAAATATCGATTAATTCAAAGCAATGAGTTTGAATAAGTTTTGAAAACGGTTCAGATTATACTGTTCTCTTAATTTTCAAGCAATGTTTGCCAAGGTTAATAAGCTAACCTAAAGAAGGGCCTAAAATGCTAAACTAACTGTTACCAAAAAGGCAAGTTCAAGTTTTCAAGCCTAGGTCCACAATAACGTCAATCAATTTAGTACCTTACAGAAGACTGAAAATGTGTTAAAAGTTTCAATAATTTTTTTTTTGCCGCTCTAGAAAACAAAGCTTTTGTATTCTGAAAGCGAATGTTCTATAACAAAATATACTTAAGATACGATCAGCCGAACGGCGGTTATCATTTCATAACCTACAGAAAACCTCCGCCCGCCTTTAATAGCAGTTTCTTGAATCCTCAATTAAAAAAAGTACTTAAAAGTTTGAAGTCGGTTCTAAGAAGAATTTCATTCTTCCATAAAATACATGAGATATAGCCTATAAGTATTTTACGCAGGAGAAGTCGCGGAAAACCGCCAA